AAACCTAATGCAAGGGAGATGGGGAAATGAAGTCTGCCTGTACTCCAAGGAGGAAAGGGACATAGGTAGGGAAAATGGGCTGTACAATCACCATTTCTTAGGGAAGAAAGAGGAGAACCAAAGAGGTTGAATTACTTGCTTAGGATCTTACAGTCAGAAAATGTGAGACTGGGATTAGAACTTTGATTGGCTTCCTCCAAAGCCACACGCTGTCTTCTCGATGACACTGCCGGCCAACAGTGGCCAGGCCTGTTTCTGAGTCTTCATGGGAAACACACTTGCTGGTCAGCCTTGACCATTCCTGTCCACTTCCCCCTGCACTGTGCTCCCTCATGCATTTCCCCATCCTCCCAGGGTTCAGCATCTCCATTTCTAATTCTCTTCCTTTGTCTCTGCCTCATAACTCCACAAAATCTCTTCCACTCTACATGTTTTCCACATATCTCACCCTTACAATCTACTTTGTCCCATGACTATGAACCTGAACCTATTTCGGTCAGGCAGGGATTCTTAGACACCTTTCCCTGGTATTAGAGATAGTTTATAAGAACTAATCACCAGGTCCTGCGTATGTATTACCTCATTCACTTCTAAAAAATACCCTGTTAAGATATCGTGATTTTACCTAAGGCTCAGAAAGGTTAGGTGACCCTGTCTTGCTTGGGATCACACAGATAAGTAGCAGAGCTAGATTGGAATCCAGTTGGACTTATTGCCAAGCTCATGTTCCTGCCCCACCCCTACAAGGGCCCCATTTGTTCCCAGTGACCCTTTTGCAGTGACTCCAGGGAGAATCAATTAGCAAGTTGGAGATCCTAACAACAACAAAAAGTCAACCTTTATGTTTGTAAAACTTAAAGACCCACATTTACCACAGAAAAGCACATGTCTCTAACTTACCTTTAAAACTCCTCTCTCTGAATAGTCCAACTTTATGAAAAAGGATGCTTAGGCTTGGTGAATGCAAAACACTATATCCACCGTAGGGGCAAAAGTGCAATGCCCTTCCTCACCCATCCTCAGGGTCACAGCTGACCTACCTACAACAAACGGCGGGTGAGCAAGAGAAAGCAGAGCATATCTATCTAATCCAAGTTTCCACAACATGAGAGCCTTCAGAGTGAAGGCGCAAAGACCCAAGGGACAACTGTCCATTGCTAAACTTAGACTCCATGAAGACTGGACAGCAACGTGATCCAACAAAAAAGAAAAGATCCAATAGTAACTGACTATCAGGGAAACCCCGCAGGCCTTCAGCTGCAGTTCTCCATGGCCCTTCTGTGTGACATTTCCTGCTCCCAAGTATGGGGCAGGACCCATCTGGCATGCAGATCTTAGGACCTGCTAGCAGACAGAGTAGGTTAGAGAATTTATTTTATGACCAGCTCCTACACAGAAAGGCCTGGATGAAAGGTGAGAGTCATATTTTAGGTTTTATGACCACTTTGGAGCAGAGGGATTCCCCTTTCTGTGACCTGCCTGTGGGAAGAGGAATTCTAGTTTCTATGGCTTGCCATGGGGGAGAAAGGAGAGTAGGAGAACAAAGAGTGGGAGCGGGTCAGACAGATCTTGCCTCTGAGGCCAGATTTGGTTTCCTTTTGGTTTCTTTCAGTTCAATGGGCTCAGCATGCCAAGGCACCATACTGTGGGGTGTCCTGTTCTGAGCCCTAAAATATTCAAGTGAACACAGGAGTGGTAAATGTATTGGGGCAATTTAATGAAGTGGGATCTATTAGGATTGCATGGGAGGAGGCTTCAGCTGGGTAGTGATGCATTGGCAGGATTTTCATAGGAAGAGAGTCTGCATAAAGGCATTCCTGGTGAATTCACGGCACAGCCCTTCTAGATGGATAGAGAATCAGGAAGAAGGGTGCTAAGGAGCCATTGAATATACACAGAGGGGCTGCATCTATGTCGGCTCTGGAGCTGCCATCAGATGGGAGGAGAAACTGGGCTTATCTTCAGGAAAAGCAAGCTTACTGTCTTCACTTTTAGATTATTTTCCTACCTGAAGTGGATTTGAGGGGCTAATGGACATTATGGAGAGAACTGAAGCCTCCCTCTTCTATCCCAAAATAACCTACTCTCCCTTTGGTGGAACAACTGAAATCAGAGGGACAGACTAGGAGTACTACAGAGGACAAGCAGAGCAATTCACCCTTCTGCCCTTCTTAAAGTATCAGAGAGGGGGGCACTGTAGGTTGTAGAAAACAGGTGTGCAGGAATTTAGGATTCAACCAGTAAGTCAGTGACCATTAGTCCCATTCCAGACTCATTGTCACATGTTAAGGCACAGTATACACCAGCACAGAGCTACCTCTGAGAGCTAGCATAGAAAGTGGGTGGGTGTGGAGAGGACTCAGTGTGCCTACTGAGGCAAGAGACAGGGACATGAACTAGGAAGCTATTTTATGTATGCTGGTGTGAGACAATGAAGGCCAGACCTGGGCAGTGGGTATTACAGCAATGAGAATGAGGAATAGAGAGAGAGATGTTGCCAAGAAAGACCATTCAGGGCCTGGTACTGGATAGCAAAAGCAAGGACAAGTAAGACACCTCATAGGTTTACATGTTTTACCCCAGAGTCTAAGGCAATATGTAATTAGTGGTGCCACTGACAAAGACAAGGGAAGTGGAGCAGCAGCTGGCTCGTAAGAGAAGAGAGAGGATTTAGCTTTGGGCAAAGCGACATCAAAGCAGGAAATTCACGCTCAGGAATAGACCTGGATGAGAGGACACAACAAGAACAGACTGGAGGCCCTGATGAAGCCATCATCGCCTATACTTCTTGCCGTGTCCCTTCAACACTTCAACAGCTCCACCAAACCACCACTGCCATTTAGTGATAGCTTCTTAAAGCTCAAGGGCAGAAGAAACATCATGACCACATAAAAAGAAGATTTGGAAATAACTAATTGAAGCTATTTATTCAAATTAATGTATCAAATGACATAAAGGTAGGACATCTGAAAAGATGTGGAGAGCAGTGAGAATTCTGTGTAAGATATAAAGGTAGATATTACTTCTATTTAAAAAAGGGAAAAAACCTCTGGACTGCCACATGCTACTCACGTATTGCTTTTGGCATTTTTCAGGAAACTACAGCTGTGTTTTATTAGTCAGAGTTCTCTAGAGGGACAGAACTTATATATATATATATACACACACACGTTATATATGCGTTATAAATGTTATATATATATATATGTTTATATATATATAAAGTGGAGTTTATTAAATATTAACTTACACGATCACGAGGTCCCACAACAGGCTGTCTGCAAGCCTGAGGAGCAAATAGGGCCAGTCCAAGTCTCAAAACTGAAGAAATTGGAGTCCGATGTTCAAGGGCAGAAGCATTCAGCATGGGAGGAAGACGTAGGCTGGGAGGCTAGGCCTGTCTCGCCTTTTCACATTTTTCTGCCTGCTTTATATTCGCTAGCAGCTGATTAGATGGTGCTTACCAGATTAAGGGTGGGTCTGCCTTCCCCAGCCCACTGACTCAAATGTTAATCTCCTTTGGCAACAGCCTCACAGACACACCCAGGATCAATACTTTACATCCTTCAATCTAATCAAGTTCACACTCAGTACTAACCATCACATGTGTATTAGTTAGTCTTAGATGTGCAAGAATCTGACTGTTCGGTCCTATCCAGGAAACACCGGAATGACTGTGAGCCAGCTGTTTCCAGACGTTCATCTGATACGCTAAGTGACAGGGCACCTTTACCCTGCTCTTATCGTTTTAACTTTCCACCTACTCTGCTCACTCAGGGCAGCCAATGCCTGAGCTAACACAGCAGAAGAGAAAGGGCAGCTTTTGCCTTGAGATTCATGAAGATGATGTTGACCTTGAGTAATACTAACTCAACTGGTTCCTGGGAACCCAGTTTGAGATACCTCAGCAGGGCTGTGGGCCCATGGAAGAGCATGACCAGCTGCGAGTCTTTGGGCAAATCACCTAATAACACCCCTTTATGCCAGTGTTTTTGATTGTAAAATAAGAAGAGGGGTTTGGAGTTCATGGACTCTAAGGCCTTCCGCTTCTGACTGTCTATGAGTATAAGAGTCCGACAGACGGAGCAGGACTTTAGAACTGTTTTGTACTGTGAATTACAGATGCTCTTTGAAGGAAAGAAATATCGATTCTAATGTTCTTTAGAAACTCTGGCAGGTATAAGCAGGACATGGTATAAGGAGGACATGGTATAAGCAGGACATGGACTGGAATGTATGCTAAGTGAAAGCAGACAAATTCTATTTCCTTACCTGAGCAAATATTTTCTTGAAACTGCTTATGTATGTCAAAGAAGCCCACAACTTCAGCTACACAGCTTTTTGTATCGAAAGAAATCATACTTTTTGTAGCTTTTATTTCACACTTAATTTAAAATGACTTTCAGCACTAAAATGCCTGGAAGATTTTACTCCAGACCTTTAAGGAAATGTTTAGTTTTTATGAAAAATGACAAGTCAGTGGTTAAACTTCTCATGTCTTTGGTGTTTTGGCCCTAATAGTACTGGACAACACCATGACCACATGGAAACATGTTTTTGGAAGCAAAACTTTAATGTTATACAATGTATGCTATAGAGAGCTAAGAAAATTTAAGGACTACTTGTTTTCTTTATTTTTTTTTCTTAATAAAATGGAATCCACTAGGTTGAAGACTCTTGATATCATGTGCCTATCTAACCATGTTTTTGTTTTATAAATTAGAATAAAATCTAGTTGTGATCATGGTCATCAAATGGGTTTGTTTGGAAAGCTACATCTTTTTTGTGAAATGTTTTTTAAATCAGAGTAACCATAAACTGATTCATTCAGCTTTTCATTAGTTTGTTTTGTTCTTGGCTATAATACTTGTGACTCATGAAGAATTACGTTGACAAACAGGATAAATTCTACATGCATTTTATTTCCTAGTGAGTTGTATAAACTTTATTTTTGTTGAAAGTTGTATGTTAAATCAATATTACATTCTTATACTTGATTTGCTGTTTTAGGTATTTTCATCAGGTGGAAAAGCTACTTTTCGTGGCTTATTTTTATTCTTTCCCTAATTCCAACAGTAGTTGGTATCTGGAAAAAAGAAAAAGAAAACCAAATGAGTCCTTTTCAGGTCCTGCTGACTGCTGAGTCTGGAGGGATTGCGAAGTGGTGATACGCCCAGGGGCAAACTGAACTCCTGCAGAGAGGATAAGCTGAAGGGTGAGCTTCAGGCTTGCTGAAGGGGCAAATGCTAACCACAAGTTAGAAGAAAACATCCCCTAATTTACAGTCAGCCTGCAGTGCAGAATATAGGCACCCTGCCCTCACCCCACCAGCAGCTTGTAACATCAACCACTTTCCTCTTCATCCCCTTTGTCTGGAGCAAAGTGATGTCTTTTTACACCTCCCTGTGAGGGTGTGCTCAGAATCAATCATGCACACTCGGGAACAGAGGACTTCAGGAAGGAGAGGACCCTCTGCAGAGAAACCCACCCCCTTATAACTTACGTCTCAGCCTTTTAGAGAGGAGTGGGTAGGCTATGAGAAGAACCCTACATGTGAGAGCCAGCAGGGACCTCAGACAACATCTAAGTCCAGTTCTGCCTTTAACAATAGAGGAGCCAGTGATGCCATGTGGCTAACATTTAACATTTAACATTTAACATTTAACTAACATTTAACTAAGGTGACATGACTTGCCTACTGACAAGCCTGGAACTAGAACCCAAGCCTCAGGCTCTTTTCATAAAGTTTGGAGGAAGAGAGAGGAGACGCTTCAATCTGGAGGTCTCAACAGTCATTAGAGCCTGTTGGGTGACCTTGGCTAGGACAGGAATAAGGTTTAACAGAGAAATATTGTAAGTGTTATCCAAAGGGGACCAGGAAAGAAAGGAAAAAGTAGAGACTCAAAGTGGAATTAATAAAGAGAGAGAGCAGGTATTGTAACCAAGGCCCAACTTATTGTCCCTAATTCTCTGAAATTGATTCCACACCTACTTACACCTTAAGTCATTTCCAGAAATATTCTCAATATCTAGACCAATGAATTTCAAAAGTGGAAATTGAAAAGGATTATATTTTTACTAGGTTCTCCTTCCCCTCCCAGTCTTTTTTTTCCCAATGTACTTTTATGGGAAAGATTTCTTTTTAGTATTTTATGCTAGTTTCAAGAGTGGCATAAGGAAGTACACGTATACAATCACTTCCTGAGTTTCAGTTTGGATTTGCTATTATACTCTCTTCAGGTGAATGAGACTTAAGAGTTCTCTTAAAGGATTTTACTGAATTATAACAATTGACCAAAATAAAGTTTTCATATTGTAGTGCTAGACCCATTAGTGAACTGTGAAATTTATGTGGGGAAATGTAAACTGCATGTTTTATTTTACAAGTTAAAAGGAAAATACTAAGTTTCATTATGTGTGATAAAAGGAGAAATTATTTTCTGCATGCTTTGTTTAAATGTATTAATTATTTCTTATTTTATCTTGTATTCAAAAGAGTTTGAGCAAAAGTGCTTCAAGTAGAGAGGTCTAATCCATCCATTTTCTCTTTTTTCTCTTGTTTTTTTTAAACCACATTATACAAACGGTATTGTTGAGATGAGAACACAAATCTCATCAATGACTGATGGATATTTAGCCTTTTCTAAGAAGTAGTCACACATCTGGGGCACTTCCATGTTGATAACCTGAGATCATAGTAGATCAAAAGTCCTAGTCATCTTTAGCTGTGTATTAGAATCACATGGGAGCTTTTGAAAGCCAGTGATGCCCAAACCATGCCCAGAGCAGTTAAGTGAGAATCTCAAGGTGTCAGTTCAAGGATTTCATGTTAAGTGAAATCTCACCAGGTGCTTATTGCATGGCAGCAGGATTTAGAGATACCGAATGTAGCAACCCAATTCCCCATCATTTTCTTTCCATTCTCCATTTCTCTCACAATTAGCTTCATTCTCAGTGGCTCTATGGACTTTATTCTTCCTCCTAATTATTTCAGTTAAATTACTCTCTAGTCAACTGGGCTAATCCAAGACACAGATTGTCCTCTATTATTCTCTACCATCCTGGGTATTCATAAAGCTGGACCCTAGACTCACTTTTCCCAAAGTTGGATTATAAAATGCTCATTTATGTTTCCTGGCCTCAAAATTCACCTGAGTTGCATTTAAATCAGAAATTTTTAAAGGGAGATTAGGATGCACCTCATGATCTGTGCAGTTCTGAAGTACTGCCCTCTGCATCTACTTTTGTACTGATTTCCCTTTAGGGTGCCATAAATGTCCTCCAGTTTATGTCAGCTCAAATGAGTCCATGAGGTGCAGACACTGAGTCCCTGAAAACTCCATTCACGTTGGCACTAGGCTGCACATCTGACTAAAGGGTGAAGACAAACATGACTCCAGGCCAATAGGGAATGCCCACCTGTCACCCAGGTTCTAATTTAATTTCTAATTGGACTTCTTTGTGCTCAGTTTTAACACTTCTCATTCACATGTATAAGGTGAGGATTAAGGGTTGATTTCGTTGGGTTGCTCAGAATCAGACCCAAGAGGAAAGTCTATGTGTAAATGATGTATTAAGGCAATGCTCCCTCCAGAAAGAAGCAATGGAGTTTGGGGAAGGAAAAGCAAATACGCCAAAAAAAAAAAAAAAAAAAAGTGTGTGATTTCAGGCAAAGAACTGCTGTTCAGCAGCTTAAAATATGCTCTTTGGATCAGGAGAGTGGAACCAGTCTCTCCTGTTGCCATGAGAGGGACTATCAGGACAACAACAGTAGGAACAGAGTAGAGTTCAGAGAGCAAACAGAAGATGAGGATGGGAGGGCTTGGCAGGGTGGCAGCCCATGGGACACAGAAGTAAGACCAAAAAAATGTATTGGGAGAATGAGCTGTCATCATAGACAGATAAATAAGGAATGAGTGCATCAAAGAGCCATTGACGTGATTACCTCTGTACCTTAAGTTTCAAGGCGAGGGAATCTGCATGCCAGTCTGAACTTGCTCAACAGCAGTTTTCTTTTGATAATCTGTTTCAGGACACTTGAGGCATGGACGTGGCCAATGACTTGACACCCATGCGTGTTGTCAGCTGGACCTTCGAGATCATCACCCTCCAGTTGGGGAGGGTTCTTTATTCCAAGGGAAGGCTCCAAACTCAGCTCTGAAAATAAAACCACAGCCATCAAGATCCACTATTATCCACTATCTTACTGTGACTTACTCTTCTACCCAAGAGGAATATCAAAGAAAGTGGCTCTGGATGTGAACGTCCAAGAGGTAAGGTGAAGCCAGTAGAGACACTTTGACTTTTATTGCTGTTGATTTTTCTTACATTAATGATAAGATTACTGGAAGACAAAGGTGCCCCCAATTGATAAAAATATTCAAGAAAAATTAAATTAATGAACACAAACAGCTCCCAGGGTATAAGGCAAAGGCAAGAAAGTTATACGGAGTATAGGCTGTGCTTTTTTAAAGGGGGAATTATAAAAATCAAGCAAAATTAAAATTAAAGGAACATGTCTTAAAAGAAAAGAACTATGGAAGACTAAACCTTGTGAATTTATAAAACTTGCATAAATATATATTTCATATATATACACTCCATATAATATACAAACCAAATATATATAATGTATATGACAAATAATGTAAGTGTATATAACAATATATATTAACCTAATTGAATAATTACATAATCATGTTCCATATCTTAGGCAATATCTCCTAAGATATGGAACATAATATTATAATCATTATCCTGCTCTGTTGAAGTTGGAAAAACCAATTAGAAACACGAGAAGAATGAGATAGAAGGTGTACTGAAAAACAAATGACCTGTTAGACAGCAAGAAGAAATCACCAGGTGAAGGAGAATAAAACAAAAAGCAATCATTCTATCTTCTTGCCTGGAGCCTGGTTCATGCTCAGGACTCTGGGGAAAGTGAGCAAGAGAGACAGTGTCTGAAGCAGTAAGGTTAGTTCTGGTTGGAGCTGTTGGAATACATGGAGAAGTAAAAGAGAGACAGGAAGAAAGAAAAGAGGATTAAATACTACAAGTTATCATAGTACATGTCAGGAACTATGCAGCTCCGACACTCAATGAGCACTTTCCATGAAACCTCTCCTTGGAGCCAGACTGGTGCTCATCACTTCACATGACCCTCACTGGCTCCTGAGGACATGCATCTCCTGATGTCTCAGATGGGGGCATCACCTGACAGAGGAGCACCACGCAGCCCCAGAGGCTCCAGAAGGAGATAGTGAGAGGGACAGAGAGTGAGGATGAACACGACCCAGAGTGAAGAAAATCTGAGCAGAAGTGGATCCTTGTGAGAAGGAAACTGAGGACATAGCTGTGGAGATGAATGGAGATGGTGAACTAAATGGAGTATCATGAAAGAAACTGATTTGTACACTTTACATATGAAAGTTTCCCTTTATTTCAAGGAGAGTGTAAAAACAGAAAAAAAAAAAAAAAGAAGAAGCTGGGTATGTCAGGAGACTGACTTGTGGGACCAGAATTTCTAATTTTATTAAATGTGCCGAATACATTGCTATTGAAAGTGCCTAATGGGGGGGGGGGGGAAATTAGCTTAATAAGGGATGGTGAAGGAGAGAGAAGAAATTGGCAAATGAGACTTACTGAGAAAGCAAAGGAAGAGGGGTCCCTTAAAAGTAGAGATCTTAAAAATCGTTCTACCTCAGATGAAAAAACACATGTGAAGTCACATTCTAAGTGTTAATTTGCCAGAAAGATAAAAGAATTAGATAACATCTATTCATAGGTTTATTGAGCAATTCTTATTGAATACATCACTCTGGAAATTCTCATAATTAATGCTCTCAACAACGATTACAGGTAGATATCATTTCTGAGGAAACGAGATATTAATACCAAAAAGACAAATAACTTGGCCAAGGTGAACAACTGTAAGTGGCAAACCCAGGACCTGAGAGCAGATTTGTTCATAAACCCCAGGTCCTTACTCACTTCACTATGTTAGAGCAACGTGGATTTCAAGTTGACCCTCAGTGAGCATGCAGAGCCCCCCTTGTCTCCTCCACCCACAACACCATGACAGCCAGCACCTGGATTAGAGTTTCCTGTTCCCCTTTCCTTCCCTACCTTGGAAGGGCCATTGGTTCCCAGAATCAGTTTTGGCTGTGAAGGTCCAGGTGGTGGAAGAAAGGCCCTGCCTGGCCATGCTATAGCCATAATCAAACCATTGATCCAGCTGCAATTGCACACAACTGAGCACCAGGGTGCTTGGCTTCAGCTGTGCATGTGAAGATTGCACCTCTGACAGGTGGTGGCTCAAGTCTCCACTCCAAGGCCCTTGGGGACAGGCCTCCTGGGTGGGAACTGAAAGGAGAAGGGGGTTCAGTAGGAACAATTTCAGTTTCCCCTTTGCTAAGCATTCCCAAAACACCCATCTCTGATGTCCCTGCCTCTCCATAAAATGACCCAGCGCACCCAGTGACCCAGGCCGTGAAGACAGACATCATGTAAACAAAGGTGATGTCGCCTTTCATGTCTGTGACTGGGGATGCTGAGACCACAGGTTCCCAGGCTAGAGTACCCATTTACTGAAAAACCCCCACTTGACCCCTGAGGCTCTGGATTGTCTAACAAGGTCATGCCTATTATTCATTATTATTCATCTTTTTTCCTGCACCCTAGAGTGATAGTTTTAGAGAGCCTCCAGAACACAGGAGAGGAAGAGTTGTTTATCTAAACACATAGGAGAAGAAGAACAGCGGAATATTTAGAGCCTCGAGGCTTTGGGAAGGAGTGACATAAAAGGGAGTTGGAATATTAAATACCAAATACTAAGTGAGGTGAACTTTTCAGGGTCCTAGGGCATTTTGAATTTCCTGTTGCCTGCAATAGTTTCACCACCTCCCCACACATATACATTCTATTGCCATACAGTGGTTATTAGCAGCCTTAAGCAATGTAATACAGGAACCAGTCCCTTTATGAAAATTTAGGGGCCAGAAGTGCTACAGATCAGAATTTGTGGTTCTTTATGGAGGTAACACAATGCTCAATCTTCATATTACCCATTCTTCCAGTGGGATCGGGGCTGTATGCCCTGATAAAAATTATTTATATTTCCATAGGGAGAAAAACACACATTCTCAGAAGGTGGCCTAATGAGAGACTTCGAATGGCCTCCGCCAATCCAAGGTCAGCCCAGGAAGGGGACGGAGCCCTCAGGACCTGCTCCACATTGCTGTGGAGCTCCTCCCTCTCCTCCCTCTACACATCCTCATTCTCACCAAGGTTTCCTTAAGTTTTTCGTAAAATGTCTTTCACGTATCTACTCTACTTCATCTTCCTGAAAGCAGTTATATCAGACTCTCATCACTCATTCTTGGCTTCATACAGTCTCCCTAACTGCCTTCTCTGATTCTGCCATCTCTACACTGGCAATTGAATCAACAGTTTTATCACCCTGTTCTTATCACATTCCCGCTCACTTCTGAAAACTTTCTCTCCATTGCCCACTACATGACTCTCACCCCTGAACCCTGCCTTTGTTCTCCTTCTAACTTCTGGCCTGTATTCTCATCCAATATCCCTTCCTACTACTCCCTCATACAAATTCTCCTCTGGAGTCAGGATGGCCCCTCACTGGCCCCAGCCCTGCACTGGGTGCCTCCAGGCCTCTGGTCTTTGTCCACAAGCCCTACTTTCAGCTTGGTGTGACCTCCGTAGTTACTCAGGACAGTTTTCTAATCATCACCCATCAGTCACTGAGGACATCTTTAAGATTCCATGATAGTCTATATTGGGCTGATGGGGAAAACATCTTGAAACAGCAAATCTGGTTGGTAAAGACTGTTCAAACCCAGGTCTCCCCATTCTTGTCCTCTGCATTTGGACAGGAATCAAGCTCTAGGAATGTTTTTAGTCATCACTACTTAATTTCATCATGTCATTTTATCATTCTTTTTCAGACTACCAAATCTTATTAAACTTATACTTTGAATATTCTTACAATTTTCTCAAACTTCTGAAGTACTGTATATTTTATTAGTTGGGCAGGTAGGGAAAAGCCACCAATAAAAGATCAAGTTATAATTTAGGTTGTCTTCCCACTGATTCTACCAACGTTTTCCCTGCAGAGAGAAGATGCAGCGGAGCTGACCTCCTGTGTCACTGCTGCTGGGGTCAAGGCTTTCCCCTATACACACTATTCACGCATAGTGTGTGAACCCACACAAAGGATGCATCCTTGTACAATCTGGATAGTGCCTTCATTCATCCCAATCATCTGCAAAGAAGCATTTGGCCTCTCTGGCCCATGTTTCATGATGCCCTGGCAGGGCCGTCCCACAATGCACACATCTCACTTCTGAGACATGTGTCTGAACATTTCCCTTCCTCCTCATGGGAGCCCCGTCTTGGCTGGAGTGTTTCTGAGGCAGAGCCCCGCAGCTTTACCAGGACAGCCCAGTTCAGAGCAGAACCTCTGAGGACAGTGGGTGGAGGAGAGCAGGACCTTTCAGCTCCTGATTGACTTTCCAGGGAGAGCCTCCTGGAGCTGGAGCTCCCCCTTTAGGGATTGGAGGAGGCGCTGGCTCTGGGGACAGACAAAGTACACAAGGTTTTCTTTCTTAGGGAATCTGTGCCAGGGCTACCAGAGTTCTTTGTACCAGACTGGAAGCTTTTCTGTTTAAGCTTGAACGTATTTCAAAATGATTTGCTACAAAAGGAAAAAGGGTAAGCACCCATCTAAGCTCAGCCCCTGAAAGAAGCCACAGCAGAGAAGTAGATGGAGACTGGACTGTGGAATAGGGCAGACACTGGGCCATGTTCCCACCAATACTAGTCAGGCCATCACCTACGGGGCAAGTGAGGGATCTTGCTGAGCCTCAACACAGTCTTCAGCTCTAACACGGAGATGCCACCACCTACTTGGGAGTGTCCCTTGAGCACTGAATGGGCCAGAGACAAGCGTAGACAGAGCTCACTTGGCAAGGGGCATGGCACACAACAGAGATAAGATAAATGCATATTTTGTCTGTTTCATGAATCCCTGTGATCCTGAGAAAAGTCTTTGCTTCTCTGAACCTCAAGGAGAAATGGAAAACAGGAAACCGAATGGTCCTAGCACAAAAGACACTTACACACCAAAATAGTATCCAAGACCAATATTTTAATTGCTAATTTCATTAGAATATAGTGAGATATACTGGAGAGTATCACAGAGTTACTTGTTCCTACCACAAGATAATTTTATGGGTAAAATGCTCAAAAATCCGCACGCAACTCTCAGAAAGCCAAAAAAATATAATAAGTGGGAAGAAATGAAAATTGGATTTTTTTCTCCACACACCCTATGAAGCTGCTGCCCCGTGGGACAACCAGTCAACAGGAAGGATCTCCTGGAGATCGTGGGGATAGGAACCACATGGTTCCAACCACATGATGGAATTGGCTCATCAGTTAGGCCAGCACCTCATCAGGGACACTAGTTTTTGATGGCTTATGTGACATTATGACACTGAGACCAGACACATGATTGAAATTATAAACCCACACATGGAAAAAAATCACCGGTGCTCCACAAAGAATGAAAGCCGTGCCATGCAGGCAGGATGGGACACTAGCTTGCTTCAGCTGGAGGGAAGCCACCTCAGAAGAAGTTGAGAATCTGGCCTGGGACATAGCAATCATGAAAACAGACCTCCAAAATAATTGGGCAAAACTGCCAGCACAAGTGGATGACCAGAGAATAGTGAAGGGCACTGTCCAGGAAATGCAACTAGCAACATACTGTCACCAAAGAGAGATGTCTTATCTTAAAGAAGGAGGTCTTTCATACAAATGTATTCAGCTGAGCTACAGGTGGCCGAGTGTTTGCAATTGCCACTCACCTTTTCCCTTCTCAGGCCTGTCTTGATGCCCACATCCCACTCTTGTGGGAAAGGGCCTGGTGACAAAGGAGTCACCTAGGACAAGAGAAGAGGAAAGTTCCACCCATTGGATGTCTGTGTTTAAAACTGGATCCAAGAGCCAGATTCCAAACAATCTAAGTACAGGGATGTCATGTCTCAGCCTGCACAAATTGCAGGAAACAAAAAAATAGAGAGGCTGCCTGGAAGGGAGACCAGTGGAGCTTTATGACCTTTGGGATGAAGTACTCACAGGCTGAATCCAGAGCACAGTAGGTGAACTGTTCCTCCAATGAGCACAAGGTGCTATTGTAAGTCCGGTGGTAGTCACATAGATCATATTCAATCGAAGGAGTCAAGTAACTTTCATCCAGTGAGTCCTCTGTGACACTGAGCTCTTTTACCTCCAGCAGCTGCCTGCTGGGCCTGGTGAGTGAAGAAGACTGAAGATAAACACCAGAGGGAAGCAAAACCACAGTGCCCAGCTGGCTCTAAAGGGAGGCCTACAGGAGGGGCCAGAGGAAGGAAAGGGCAGGCCCCTCAGAGAGACAGAACAATCCTTCCCCATCTGGGGCAGAAGAAAGAGAGCAGCTGAGGCTCGGTGCACTGGGTAGACAATGAGCTGAGGACGAAGGAGATGGAATGATCCCTGTACAAAACAGCCATGACACACAATGCACATGGAGGGACATCATGGTGCATTCAGCATTTTTGCATAAATTGTATTCATAGCAGCATGCAGTGGCCAAATGAACATGGGCTCTTGAGTTTTCCTAGACTCTTAGAGATATTGTATCCCCAACATCTCTTTTTCTCAATATTGTAGCAAGATATGAATTTTTTCATTCATTTTCATGCTGTGAAATACTTGCACACATGGTAATGCCAAAGCACAGACATCAGATGTGCATTAAACAAAAATGATAGAAAAGGGGACTGCAGAAAATATCTCTGATAGATCAGTTCAACTGAGTCAACTGAAGAGAGATTAGTACAATTGAGAGGAATTAATAAAGAAGGGGAAATACAAATACAGCTATACAATGAAAACAGGCAATTCTAATAACAAAAAATATTTCATGATTGGCTGAATAGATGGAACAAACATTCAGCACATTCTGATTTTTCCTGCATCCAGAGTCTCCAGATGTCCACTGAATTAACTGTCTGTAGTTCCTTGGAGTTATCTAGGGCCTGATGGGTCTTGGTCCTTCACATCCTCTTGGTCATGTTCAAGTTCTGTCAATAATTTCAGACAGGGAGAGACAAATTAAGCAGATTCTCCTACACCCATGAACAATCCACCATCCAATCCTAACACAGAGACATCAGTCTCCTCAGTGTGAGAACGGGACACTGTGAGAGAAATATTTCGGGAGGCCTGAGGTCCTGTCATGATAGAAATGCCTTGGATTTCCCTGAGCCTAGGGGTGAAATCTCCCTATTCTTGTAGATCATTATCTCAACACGATCTGTCCTGAGACTGTGCAAACAGGTAAGCAATATTTTTCATACCAATTCAAAGCAAATACGCCCAGATGTTTTCTAGAAAGGAAACTGCAATATGTAGCCTTCCCTCATCAAATACCAAGGTTGTTCACAGTTTACAGCATTTTAGATGCTGAAATTAGAAGGATGGAGGGAATCTATATACTCTTGAATCAAAATGAATCTCTGTGCTACACAGTAACAATGGCTATTTGGGCATCTAGGAGTGACAGTGGTCAGTCTTGCTTCCAGAAACATACCAGCAAGTCAATGGCCTGCTTAGCTACAACAAGCCAACATCAAAGACATAGAGAATGGGTCTGGGTTCAATGAAACCTTGGTATCATTTTCCACAGAAAGGTAGATAAAGATGCCACTGACCTTGGGCAGTCATAGAACCTCAAGGGACATGGTTGGGAAAAGAAATTTATAAGGAACACAATAATAGCTGGAAAGACAAATTGTATTCAAATTAAGACATCTCACAGACACCTCTTGGAAATATGCTGCACAGGTCGGTGTGAATTTGTCACATCTGTCTTGGGTCCAATATCTTGATAGTGGGCCCAGGATGACACAGGCATGGTCTGAGACAAGGAAGAGAGCAGAGCTCATTGACCCAACCCATGTTGGTGTTTCAAATTCAACTCTAGAATCTGATTCAAAACAACTCGTGTCCATGATTTCTGGGCACATTGATGACATCTCTAAGCCCACTCTGGGGCTCAGGGTGCAAGGACTATGAAGTCTACCTGAGACATCACTTGGATGTTTATCACATTCATAGTGGAGCACTCCTCCCCCATCAAGAGCCAAGCAGACTTGCTGTTTCTCAAATGAGTACAAGGTGCTTCTGTAAGACAGATGGGAGCCAGACGGGTCAGCAGGAATCAATGGAGTCAAACAACATTCATCCCGTGGCTCTTGGAGGACTTCATGCTCTGCCACCTGTGGCACCTCCTTGCTGAGACTGATGGGGTAGGAAGGTCTAAGGTTAAACCAAGGGGGCCGAGGACTACAGACTCCTAGATGGATTTGACAGAAGACATAAGGCAACAGTTGCAGAAAGCAAAGGGGCTGACCCAATAAAAGGTACAAATTATTCTCTTCATGGTGGGACAGAGTGTGGCTGCCGTGGGATGGTGAGAGAAAGAGAAAGAGAGATAGAGATGGCTCATGTTCAGTGAATTGCCCAGATTAGAAGCTCATGAGAAAGAAGAAGCAACATATTTTGACATAATATGGAGTTGGGGTTTTATTCAATTTTCTTCTCTTGTGATCAGATACTTGCCAACAAGTTGACACCTAACAGGGTGTATCTCAGCCTGGATTTAACCACATGGAAGAGGACAGGTGATATCAAAAAATCCGTGAGTTTGGTGAGTTCACTTGGGTCAACTGATTGCAGGATACTATGCTTGAGAGGGATTAAGCAATTGAAAGCAGGCTAAGGCAGGAGTATCACTTGAGCCAGGAAGGTCAAAGCTGCAGTGAGTCTTGATAGCACCACTGTACTCCACCTGGATGACTGAGTGAAACCCTGTCTGAACAAAAGAAAGAAAGAGAAAGAAGGAAAGAAGGAAAGAGAGAGAAAGGAAAGGAAAGGAAAGGAAAGGAAAGGAAAGGAAAAAGGAAAAGGAAAAGGAAATGGAAAGGAAAAGGGAAAGGAAGGGAAGGGAAGGGAGAGGAGAGGAGAGGAGAGAAATGGAAAGGAAAGGAAAAGAAAGGAATGGAATGGAAATGAAAGGAAAGGAAGAAAGAGGAAAGGAAAGCAGGAAGACAGGAGAGAGAGAGAGAGAGATAGAAAGAAAGAAAAAAGAAAGAAAGAAAGAAAGAAAGAAAGAAAAAAGAGAAGAGGAAGAAAAAGAAAGAAAGAAAAAGAAAGAAAGAAAGAAAGAAAGAAAGAAAGAGAGAGATTGAAATGTATATGAGTACCACAAGAAAAAAGAAAACATTGTTCAAAAGAATAATTTGTAGTCAACTGAATGTATAAAATAGTCCTATTCATAAACTCCTATGTTTCCCTGATGCCATCCTCCAGATGCCACTATTGAACAACCAGCTCACAAATCAGAGTTACCTGGGGGACACTGACTGTTTCCCTTCCTCTTCCTCATTATCATTTTGATTTTCTGCAAATAAATTCAGAAGAGAGGATCACATTAAGCAAATCATACTCCACACATGACCGAATTAGTGTCCAATCATAACACAAGGGTATTAACATTCTCAGCATAAGAATATGGTATTCTTACAGAAAAGCTCTAGGATGCCCTAGATTAAGTCTTGGAAGAAGTAGATGAACCTGCTGTCCGGGTCCATGGGGCAGAATCTTCCTCTTCTGGTACATTATAATTGCATATCCTCTGGCCTGTGTCTGTTAGGCAGTTAAAAAAAACCTTTTTCCCCAAGATCTTCAGGAATTTGATTAACTACTTTCTAGAAGTGTCGCTGCAATATTGACTTGTCTCAGTAGATGTCATGGTTGTTGAATGTTTAGAGGAATTTATACACAAGTCTGAACTGAAGGATAAATTCTAAAAACCCTCTCATAATAAAAGATTATACGGTGTTACACAGAAAAATTGGCCATTAGTAGGGTGGAGAACTCAGGCCTCAGCCTTGCTTTATGGAAACTTATAAGCAAGATAAAGATAGAAGTGTTTATGTCCGGGTTTTGAGGTGGCTGCTAAGCTAAGCCAACTTAAAGGAGAATAGAGACTGCAGCTGAGAGCAATAAAACTAAGGTAACGACATCTCCAAATCTATAGGCAAGGCGGCCAATGACCTTTGACAGGCATAGATACTCCAAGGACATTGTTCGGGGACACAAATTACATCACTACAGGAGAAAAAAGACATTGGATCCAAGATAGGAGAAATCTGACAGATACCTGACAGATGCCTCCTCTATACCTCCCGTACACAGGTGGGTATGAGTTTATCACACCTACCTGAGGTGCAATAACCTGATACTGGGGCCAGAGAGACTAAGGCATGACATGGGCTGAGGAGGAGAGGGGAGCCTCCTGACCCACCTGATATTTGTGTTTAATACTTAATCCTACTTCCTGATTCAAACCAATATGTACCTATAGGCCCTGCCCTCGGAGCTGAACTTTCTCAGCCTAGGCAGAGGTAAAAAGGACGAAGAATATAGAAGCTACCTGGGAGAATGTTTAGCACTTCCTCCTCTCTTTCGTAATGTGAAGATTCACTGCATACATCCAGAGCAAAGTTGACTTTCTCTTCCTCGGGTGTGATTCTGGCACTCCTCTGAGGCTGATGGGAGTCAGAAGGGTCATGACAAATTGAACAAGTGGCAGAATATTCCTCCAGTGAGTTCTGAGGGACTTCCTTTTCTTCAGTCTCCTGTACCTCCCTGATGAGCCAGGTGGTACAGAGATAACAGAGGTGACAGAAGATCAAACCAAGAGTGCTTAGACCCCAGGGAGTGCGAGCTGTTTTGTCAGGAGGCATAAGTGAGTGGTCCCAAAAACCAAAGGAGTGGTTCCCTTTAAGAGGGAAAAGGCAATCCTCCTCTCTCGGCAACAGAGTGTGGCTGCCATGGGGGCCTGAGAAGAAGAGAGCAGCTGGAGCTCATTGCACTGGGCAGGTAGGATCCAAGGAGGGAAGAGACTCAGCTATCTCTGTATGGTACAGATGTAACACACAGCACATGGAGAACCCCAACAGCTGCTACATCATGTGGCTCAGTTGGGTTGAATGTAACATACTGTAGCCAAGAAAATACACGCTGAGCCATTGTAGACTCCAGAGATGGTGTGACTTCTAGTCTAATATTGTGATTTGAAAAGCAAGTACTTTTGGTCTAGGTACTTTTCTTGGTGTTTAACTTTGCTAGTTACTTCCTAATTCCTCTCCTTGTTAACTCTTTGCTGTTTATCCTAACTAATAAGAACCTAATGATAACTGTGTAGGAAGCAGATATGAAACTCCTCCTGATTTTCATAACAGAAGAGAACGGGTCTCTTCTGTGTGTGCAGGAAATCCCCAAGGCTGATAAGTTCTCCTCAGGTCATGCTTCCAAGTACCACAAAGAAAATAGACAACCATGTCAACAGGGCTATTTCACTGTTGAATGAGTGCACTAAATCAATACAATCTGCAATTTTTTTCCTTGCATCTAGAATCCATGACAACCTGTACCTCTCTTGTCTTCTTTCTGAGGCCTTTTCCATATTTTACCTACCCATTACCAGCTCCTGATTATTCATTGTTACCTGGAGGCAAGTGGTCTTTGGATTTTTTCAACTTTCTCATCTTTAGCATCTTCATTCCCAACTTCATCATCTTCTGCAAATAAATGCAGTCATGTCCATTCAGATATTTCCCACTTCACCCATTGCAAACACAGTGAGCTATGTGAGCACAGAGACATGAACATCTATGTACAAGTCAGTGTTGCACTGAAAGCCCTCATGTTTCATCTTTAGCTCTCACATTTTTTGCCCTGGCAATGTGGTTCTGATCTGGAGAGCCAGCATGACATGGGAAAAAATTTAAAAGACCTTTTTCGCCTCATATCACTGGAGCCTTGTCCATCTTCCCTCTGGACTTCAGCAGCTGTCTTCCCTTCTGGCCACAGATCTGATTCCCAGGCACAGACTCCACATCCCCTCACAGCTCTCACTAAAACCTATTTCTTTCTCTTAGGAGAGGACAAACAACCTGTCCTGCACCACTCCATACATCAGGGGACTTCACAGGCCCTCCAAGTAGCTTCTGCTGTATTGTCCTGGGAAATTCTCTCCATGAAGAGTGTTCTAGTCTTAACAACTTTCCTAACACCACATGCTACCACATCAACTACCTTATCTAACATCACACAGTGAGGGTCTTTGTCTTATTTTGAAACACACTTATGTGTGTTCCCACATTTGAATGCTGTATCTGTTAGACATCCAGGAAGGATAAATTGCTGGCCCACAGTTACTAAGACATTACTGAGCATAGAGCCTGGGAACATCCATTCTTAGTCCAGGGCTCTCTCCACTCTAACAAGCTGCCTCCTGTTACATCCTCCTTCCTGTCCTTTAAAACTGGATGGATGCTGCTTCTTGCTCCAAAGGCCTGTTCCGTCAAGGAGGAAGGAGGCTTTTGCCGTACTGTGACCTCCAACCCCTGGCTTTCTCATCTCTTTTCCTACACAGGAAGTCCTGGTCATGTCATGGTACTAATGCTTAGTGGAAAGAAAGACCACCAATAAAATTGTCATTGTGCAGGTGTGGAGGTCTGGAGTCTTCTCATAAGCCTAGGACTTTGCATTATCAGGGCCCGTGACTACCTTACTTGGGCTGAGCTTGCGGACGAGGCACTCTGCCAGCCTGCGCCCCTCAGCCAGCTGCTCTCGGAGGTCCTGCCCCTGGTGGCTGTCAGGGTCATCATCAGTGAGAAGGGCCTTGAGATGCTGACTGAGTAAGAGGGAGGCCTCTCTCCCTTCCCGTAACTTCTTCCTCAACTGGGTCAGCTCTAGTGCCTGAGAGTGAACTAAGGCTTTGTATCGCCTAAGGTGGGATAGTAGAGAAAATATAACAGTGGAGAGGGATCAGTGATCAGTTCAAAGAACTGCAACAGAGATTTCTGTGAGAATATCCTCAAGAAGCCCTCCAAGCAGAATTTTAGCACAGTTTTGGGGAAATGGCTCTGACAAATAGAAAAAAAAAAAAATTTTTTTTTTGAGATGGAGTCTCACTCTGTCCCCCAGGCTGGAGTGCAGTGATGCAATCTCAGCTCACTGCAACATCGACTTCCCAGGTTCAAGATATCCTCCTGCCTCAGCCTCCCATGTAACTAGGACTACAGGCACATGTCACCATGCCCAGCTAATTTTTGTATTTTTATTAGAGACAGGGTTTCGACATGCTGGCCAGGCTGGTCTCAAAATCCTGACCTCAAGTGATCCACCCTCCTCAGTCTACCAAAGTGCTGGCATTACAGGGGTGAGCCACCATGCCCAGCCGAAATACAATTTTTTACTAAAAGCCCTCCTCTGTATTAGAGTGCTCCTATGAGATTCCTCAACATTCCATTCAACTTTTTCCCATGTAAAGAAAACTAGATGCCTTGCAAAATTTGTTTCAGAAAGTTGTCCCTTTAGTTCCTTATTTTGGTCATGGACATTTCCATGTAAAAATACACATAGCACAATATGCAGTGACTAGACACAAAGCCACACATAGAAATGCGGCCAAGTATAGCTGAGGTTATTCAGAGAGATGAAAGAATGAAAGAATGACAGAGTCAAGATAATAACATTCAAATGAATGAAAGAATGAGAAGCCAGTAAGTCAGAAGATGATTCTAAGGATAAAGAAAACGTGGTACTTATTTACAATGAGTGCTATGCAGCCATAAAAAAGAAGGAGATCCTGTCATTTGCAGCAACGTGAATGGAACTGGAGGTCATTATGCAAAGTGAAATTAGCCAGGCAAAGAAAGACAAACATCACATGGTGTCACTTATTTGTGGGATCTAAGAAAAGCAATTGAACTCATGGTGATAAAGAGTAGAAGGATAGTCACCGGAGGTGGGGAAGCATAGTGGGAGCTGAGGTTATGGGGGTGGTTAATGTGTACAAAAAAATAGAATGAATAAGACCTAGCATTTGATAGCACAACAGTGTGATTATAGCTAACAATATAATTGTACATTTAAAAATAACTAAAAGAGTATAATCGATTGTTTGTAACATAAACAACAAATTATTGAGGGGATAGACACCCCATTTTATGTGATGTCATTATTATCCATTGCATGCCTGTACCAAAATATCTCAGGCACTCCATAAATATGTACACCTACTATGTACTCACAAACATTAAAATAAAACGTTTAAAAAGAGAAAATGTAGTGCTGATTGCACAATATTTTGAGTATACTAAATGCTGAGTTGTTCACTTTCCTTTGGTTAATTTTGTGTTTTACAAATTTTGCCTCAATAGTTACTTGTTCTGAGTAACAATTGTAGCCCATAATTTACTAGCATTGTTGTTCTGTAATTGTTTTATAAATATTTGCACGATATGTGCCTGCTATGTAAATCCCCGCCCTTCTCCTGGCCCAGGTTAGCTCTTATTTCTCCAGCTGAGCTGCCCCCGTCAGAGACCCACACACCTTCTACCTGCCTGCCCCACCACACAGAGCCTCCCTCACCTGAGCTCCTCAGCTTGTGTCGACTTCTCTGCCAGCTTCTCCTCCTTGAACTGCATCTTCTCCCCCAGCACAGATTCTGTGATGCCTTTGTGCTCCTCACACTCTGAGAAGACACACCTGTCTCGGTGGGAAGTTGGACATGTCACTGCCTACAGGGGAGGAGTCAGGATCCACCCCAAGGACACAAGGATCCCCAGTACCAGGCTCTCAGCGGCACTTGATGCTGTCACTTACAGGTACCACAGTGTCTGGCAGGAGCAGCCTCCTCTTTAGGTTTCTTTAAAGCAGATGCTCTGTGCTACCATCGCTTCTCCTAGTGCAGCCAGCAAGAGCTTTGCCTTTTGGGCCTCAACAGAAGCGCCACATCTTTACCAACCTTCCAAATACAAGGCAGCTGATACGCCCCAATTTACAGATGAGAAAAGAGGAACTCAAAGGCACATGAAATAACTAGAAAACATGACTCAACTGGAATGAGGCAAAGTCAGAGTTCACATCCATTAAGATCTGACTCTGAATCCTGGGCCACTTTGCCAAGCCTTGCAGCCTCTCCTGTAAAACACTGAGCTGGAACATAAAGCAGAGATTTACTGTACCCTCGGGAAGGCCTCCAGAACTATGGGACTGATGGTTCCCTTGTATTGGGAATTTCAAGCACAAATATCACCAAGATTTTTAAAATCACATCTGGACACAATTTAGTAAAATATGAGGCATAAGACCATAAGGCCCTAAAAAAAAATGCCCAAATGCTAATAAAGTTTGTGTTAAATTAGAAATAGTAGAACAAATAACTAATAAATAGTTTTTACTCTGTGCCAAGGACTGTTCCAGGAGATTTACAAGAACGAGTTCCTGTAATTCACTGCAGTAATTTACAGAGGTAGGAATTATTATAGAACCCTATTAATAGATCAGGAGACTGAGACAAAGAAGATAAACAACTTGGACTGGAGCCCAGGAGACTAGCCCAGGGTCCCTCCTCTCCACACTGCACTGCTACCTCAGCAGAGTCTTGAGTACTCTCTTTCTTCCTCCTCAGGAATAAGAGCCTCTGCTCTGGGAAGCAGGAGTTCCTCTCAGCAGGGTCGTCCCTGCTCCTGATGCTGTCACTTATGGATACCACAGGTTCTACTAAGAGCAGACTCCTCGTTAAGGTCCTGGAAAGCAGGGACTGTGAACTATCAGCATCTTTCCCCCAGTGTGGACCGCACAGGGCTTTGCCTATTGGGCCTCAATAGATGCTTAAATTGAATAAAAGTTCATTAGTTTCAGACAGTTACACCAACAGACTAAACGTTATTTGCCTGCAGGATTTTAAATGGTACAGAGAGGGTCCTAGTAAAAATGGTTTAGGCTGTTATTGAGAAAAACTGGAAGTTTTGTGTCTGCATCAGGCATCAATAATTGGGACTTTAACTCTAACCCCTCCCTACACTTCACTGCAAATGTGGAAAAGTTGATAAACACTTCGTTCCCAGTTTTTCAGTCCTCAGCAAAATGAGATTAAAATATCTATTTCTACTTTTCTGGGAGCATGGAAAGGACGAAATTTATTTTGATGAAGAGAAGAGAGGAATCGGGTCTAAAGAATGTTTAGTTTCTCAGAGAGAAGACAGTGATCACTTATCACTTTGGTGATAATGAGCCTGTAGAACTTACTGTATTTCTGTAGCTGGTTGGTCAGACAGTAGGCAGGAGTTTCAGAGACAAGAAATTTCTCTTTGAGGTCTCAGAACTGCTATTCACTCATTTTCAGCTGTGAGTGCAATTCCTGGTTGATTTCTAGGATGTTAATTTCTGCTCTCTCATTGTACAAAGGACTGATAGATTCTGCTATGCTGACGCTTGTGGAAGAAGAGGTAGAGCCAGTGACTGGGGAGAAGAAACCCAAACACAAGATGGGTTAAAAACTAGTGAAATCAAACAGGTTTAATCAGGACTGAGGGATGACAATAACTGGGATTCTTACCTTACTGTTCAGAAAAACTTGATCAACACTCAACACCTGAAAGTCCTTAACTGCCAAAAACAAAGTTTAAGGTGCCAGAGCTTGGAACAGAAGGCACTGCCTGTAGCTCAGACTCTGAAGGGAGTGAGGGAAGTAGTGTCCAGTAGGTCAGGTAATGGTCTGCCGTCACTATAAGAGAATTAGAAGGTGGGATGTCATGGAATCTTGGAGTCCCTGCCTTCCACTTGCCTAGGCCATGCTGAAACACAGGCCTCCTGATCTCCGCTGAGGGTCACCACCGATGGGGACAACTCCCTCAGCTGTCATTCTGGGTATTTGTGTACCCTTGTGACAATACCACAGACCTATCTCTTTCCCAATAAATCTAAGCATATTTCTCATTGTTCATCCCTTATGTGTATAAAATCATCAAGGCAGAAATAATTTCTCAACAGGTTGTATTCTCAATGGTTATGATGAAGTCACCCACCTTCTCTTTAAGTAAAAACAGATCTGAAGGCTTTTCTACAAGTGAAAGATGTGGAACTTTTAGACTGCCATGATGTGCTTTTCTGGGTCTTCTGCAGTTTTTTCTGTATCCTCTAAAAAGTGTAGGACCAAAAGCAGAATATAATACTAGGTGAGTGAATGATTCATTTTCAAAATGTTTTCTGTATTGTCTCAATATTCTTCTTGCGGCATCCCATTGTTATGTTGATTTCTTTTCCCTTACTGGGGCAGCACATTGGCTTTTCACTACACTTATGACCAGTTTGACATCCCTACTGCTGAAGCTCTTCCACTGTCTATAGGCTGATTTGTATTTTAATGTCTCTAAATACTCCATCTCATACTTCTCAGTTATGGATGTCATTCTAGATTCACAATTGCTCTTTTCAAGATATCAAGTGATCAAAATCATTTATGCATACCTCCTGAAAACATGCAGAGACCACCTATCTTGGGAAGTCTTATAAAGCTGAGGCTATTTTGTTGTTTTCATTCAGTTCCCCTGTATATTAAACAGATCAGGGTCCATGAGTGGTTTTTATGGAATATTGCTTGTTAGGTGTTTGTTTTGTTTTGTTTTGTTTTTTGAGTTGGCCTAACACCAGTGATCTGTGATTGTCTTCCACTAAAAGAACGTGGTGAGATCAGTAATGGGCAGCGGTGGTTGATGATCTTCAGGGTACATGTGTAATCCCCTAGAGGAAGGTGCAGGTCATAATCCATTGTGGGTTTTATAGCACAATGTATGTTTTATGGAGTTTTTATTCTTTGTTCTATTTAGAAAGATTAAATTGAAGCTATGGTTTAGGGTTTTACACCTGAACTTACAATTTTTCTGATTTCTTTTGTTTGTTTGTTTGTTTGTTTTGTTTTTGTTTTTCTTGAGATGGAGTTTCGCTCTTGTTGCCCAGGCTGGAGTACAATGGCGCAATCTTAGCTCACTGCAACCTCTGCCTCCCGAGTTCAAGCAATTCTCCTGCCTCAGCCTCCAGAGTAGGTGGGATTACAGGCATGTGCCACCATGCCCAACTAATTTTGTATTTTTGGTAGAGATGGGGTTTCTCCACTTTGGCCAGCTTGGTCTCGAACTCCCAACCTCAGGCGATCCACCTGCCTCAGCCTTCCAAAATGCTGGGCTTACAGGCATGAACCGCCATGCCTGGCCTTAAAATTTTTCTGATTTCCATATTGCAACTAAATTCTCCTGTAAATAAAAAAAAAAATACTTTTTATTACTTGTAAGGACAAATAATTGGTTTGAGTTTTTGAAGATGAAGCATTAACTTTTGTTTTCATCGTGCACTTGTCCCTATTCGTGCTGCTCATTGTCTCTCAGCATGTCCTGGTCTTTCTCCTGGCACTTACCCTCCTCCTGCTGAACAATCTCCATGCACTGTCCAACACCACCAAAAATTCTGGCTCTTCCCTGGCCTCCCCAAAATGGGCGCAGGTGTCAGGATGTCAAACACATCCTAAATGCAAAAGCGACCCATGCTTTAGAGCAGGCAGCTATGACCCCACTTCCCTGAAGTTGGCGATAATGTCCTAGTATAGGAAGGAATTATTTCTCTTTTACTGAGGGGTCTTTTCTTCATGTCTGAATGCCTCTGATCTGGCGAGCACAACTGTCCAAAACATGAATGTACTTGCTAACTTTCTAGTTTCTTCTTAGGCAGCTAGATTATTTATAAGTCCTCCTTACTTACATATCTCTACTGAAGTCTGAATTCTTAGCCAAATGATTCCTTTTCTTGTAAGGTGAGAGGCTTGGAGAAGACTGGTCTCATCACTGTGCAGAAAAGGTAAAAAAAAATTCTATTCAAAGCAAGTTTGAATTTGAAACTAGGACTTTCACTGTTCCAATGTGGACAATCAGTGCCTTAAGCACATGTCTCCAAGGGCTTGTATCTCTGCTGTACTCCAGATAAAGCTAAAATGGGGCCCAAGGATCCAGGTGTCCTAGAGTCCCCCAGTTTCTCTGGGCTTTAGAGGCTGCAACGAACACATCCTGTTGTTCTGCTCTGGCCTACTTTTGTATTGTGGCTTTGGGATGATGTGATGCAGCTTAGTGGTTCCTACCCCCAAGCTGATCAGAGTAAGAAACAACACCTGGGAAAGTTAGTGCGAATACAGTTCCATCAACTCCGTTGCCGTGATTCTGATTCAAGTGCCTTACCTGGTGCCTGGAATGCATTTGTCAACATTACTCAGATGTGCAGTCAGTTTGAGGACCCATTGATATCATCAATCTTACAGTTTGTGAGATGATTTTTCTTACATATTATCACTTGTGATCTTCACAAACGACTTGTGAGGAAAGCTTTACTTTGCCCTGTTTTGCTGATGAAGTAACCAAGGTATAGAGTCTGTAACTTGGCCAGGTTCTCCTCACTGTAAGTACTGGAGCCAGATCTCAGGTAGAGTCCCCTCTCCCCCACACCCTTTTCCACATTTTCCAATTCAACTGTGTCAGTTCTTTCTGAGTAGGTGTTTCTCTAACCTATACCTTATTTCTGCAAAAACAAAAACAAAAACAAGCCTTTTTTTAATCTAATGTATTTCCTCACAACAGGCTGTCAGCATGATATTCTGGCCACTGACTGTGAAAGTGAGATGTATTTTTTCATGAAAATACTGGGCAGAGAAATGTGGAAAGACAACTTACATTATTATTGTTGTTGTTGCTGTTATTACTAAAGTATAATTCGTATATCATAAAAGTCACCATTTTTAGGCATACCATTCAGTGTCTGTTACTATATTTAAAAGGTTTTGCAATCATCACCACTACCTAATTCCAGAAAATTTTTGTAATGTTAAAAAGAATGCCCATACTTATTGGCAGTCATTCTCCCACTTCTTGCAATCCATAAATTTATAGGAACCACTAATCTACTTTCTCTATATATAAATTTAATTGCTCTGGAAATTTCACATATATGGAATAATACATTACATGGCCTTTTGCATCTGGCTTCTTTCACTTAGCATAATGTTCTCAAAGTTCATCCTTGAGGTGGCTTGTGTCAGTCCTTCAATTCTTTTCATGGCCAAATAATATTCCATTTTTTATGGAACATATACCACATTTTTTATCTATTCATCAAGTGATAGTTGTTTGGGATGTTTCCACTTTTAACTATTATGAATAATGCTGCTTTGAATATTTTTACATGTTTTTGAGTGAACATCTGTTTTCACTTCTCTTGGTTATATATCTAGGCATGTAATTGCTGCATCCTATACAACTTTATATTTAACTTTTTGAGGAACTAACAAATTGTATTCCAAGCTCAGTGGCCACACCATATTATATTCCCACTAGCAATTATAGGAATTCCATTTTCTCCACAATCTCCCCAGTATCTTATTTTGGTTTAGCTTTACATTTTCCTACTGACAAATAACATTAAACATCTTTGCATGTGCTTATTGGTCATTTATACGTATCCTTTAGAGAAATGTCTGTTCACACCCATTTTCCCATTGTCAAATTGAGTTATTTGTTTTTTGTATTGCCCAGTTATAAGAATTCTTTGTATATTCTGGATACAGGACCCTTGTCAGATATATGATTTGCAAATATTTCTCCCATTATGTGTATTATCTTTTCACTTCCTTGATAATGTCCCTTGAAGTATAAAATTTTTAAATTTTAATAAAGTTGAATTTATCTATTTGAGGTTGTTTGTGTATATCTAAGAAACCAGTGCCTAATCCAAAGTCATAAAGACTTACAGCTAGGTTTTCTTTAAAATATCAATTTTTGAATGAGAACTTTCCTGGGTTTTAGTTAAAGGTGGACATAATTTAATTACGCCTTGGGTCCATTGACTGATGTTTCTTCTGATTGATATTCCTATGCCCACCACCCCCTCTCTGGAGCATCCAATGTCCTACAACAGAGCTCTGAGGAATGGTACCCTTTTACTGACTTTGATTCAGGTGAGTAGCCTGGTCATGTAGTTCAGCTTGGCCTTAAACCAAACCAGTTTGACATACTCCTCCAGACCTTTAAATTTGAACAGTTGAGTGCCTCTCTGAGGAACACTTGGTCACCCATGTTTTTCTAAGGCTAGAGTGGACTTCCTCTGTCAATGCTAGACAAAGGGGACTGTAGGGGTTGGATCTAGTCAAGACTTTCATCTCTGGTGTTAGATAAAGATTACACCTGCTTCAGGGTTTGGGGAAGGTTGCTCAGTACAAACTAGGTCCTCTCTAACTCTTTTTAGTGTATTGTAACTTCCTTCTAGAAATTATGGAAGAATATTTATTTTGGAACATTTTTCTGTTTTTTTTTTCCATTGTTTGTCTATGTTTTCAAGTGGGTAAAAGAGAACTCAGAGTAAATATATTCTTAACAACTAACTATGGCTCATGTACACTGTCATGTGATCATATTTCTTTCTGTTATTTAAACTATCTTATTACACAGGTATTATCCTTCTCTTGATGAGTAAAAAAACTCAGAAAAGTTACAAAATTTTCCAAGGTCACAAATTTAGTGAGTTGAGGAATAAGCATTAGAAACCAGTTCTGTTTGGCTTTCAAAACTAACCTCGTATCATTAAATCAAATTGAATGATAGTGCTTCTGTTGGAATAAGTCTCAGAGTTTGTGGTTCTAGACAATTTTCCCAGGGAAATAATGTGTCATTTTTATATTGTTTCAAACCTTCACGTTTCAAAATCTTTTTCCATTATGCTTTTTTGCGTTTGTTCTATTCCATTGTTTTTGGTTTCTTCTCAAGGAATCCCTGTTATTTATACACTGAGTATTTGTTACCTAACTTCTCTCAATTGTCACTTTTCAAGAGCCTTTATCATCTTTTTTTTCCTGAGAACAGTTCTTAATTGAGGTATAATTTGCATAAAACAAAATGCAAGAGAAACTCAAGAAGACAGCTTAATTAATTTTAACATAATTATGCATTGTGTAATACCACCGAGATCAAGGTAGAGAACATTTTCCACCATGCCCAAAAGTTCTGACATTCTCCTTGCCAGTCAATACTGATCCGCTGAATAAAGAATGTATTCTGAATTTTGTAAGTCTCAATCCATTTGTGTTGCCATAAAGGGACACTTGAGGTTGGGCAATTTATAAAGAAAAGAGGGTTCATTGGCTTACCATTCTGCAGGTTGCTCAAGAAGTATGGAGCCAACATCTGCTTCTGATGAGGGCCACAGGCTGCCTCCATTCATGGTGAAAAACAAAGGGAAGCTGGTATGGGCAGAGATCACATGATGAGAGAGGAAGGATGAGAGAGACGGGAGGTACCAGGCTCTTTAACAACCAGTTTCCATGGGAACTAAAAGAGCAAGAACTTACTTACTACCCACTTCCAGGGAGGGCCTTAACCTATTCATGCAGGATCCCAATGACCCAAAGGCCTCCCATTGGGCCACTTCCAACATTGGGGATCAAATTTCAACACAAGATTTGGAGGGCACAAATATCCAAACTATAGTAGGGGCCATAATTTTGTTTCTTATGCATCATAAAAATGGAATCATAGAATATACTCTCTTTTGTTTTGACTTCTCTTACTCTGCGTCTGCTTTTGAGATTCAATCTTGGAGGGGTTATACGTGCCACTAATTTGTTTGTGTTTTTCTTTAATTTTATTTTGACAAAGTAATGTTTTATTGTAAGATTAGCGCAGTTTGATTATCATTTTTTCAGATGGTAGACAGGTTTACTTTTCGGCTATCATGTACAAAATAACTTTGAATATTCTTGTATAATTCTTTTAGTGAAGATATGCACTCATTTTTCCTGGATATACACAGTTAAGAGTGGAATTGGTTGAAAGAATGAAAAGCTGAAACAGAGTTTTGCAGAGTAGTTTTACTATTTTACATTTCTATGAAAAATGTAGGTCATTTCTAGTTGCTCTGCATTCTCACACACTTACTGTTTTTAGTCTTTTTCATTTTAGCCATTCTACTACGTATGTAGTAATATGCAACTTTGGTTTTCATGTGCCTATTGGTCATTTAGATATTTTTAAAGATTTTCTACTATTTTTCTTCTAGAAGGTTTGAAGTTTCAAGGTTTATACTTAAGCCTATTATCTAATTTGAGAGACTTTGGGCTCTTTTATTTCTATTATATGAATTTAAGGTGTACAACATGATATTTTAATACCCATGTACATAATGAAATGATAACTACAGATAAACAATTTAGAATATACATCATCTCACATAGTTACCTTATGTGTATATAGTAAGAGCACCTAAAATATACTTTCTTAGAAAATTTCTGGTATACAATACACTATTATTAACTATATTCCTCAAGCTGTACTTTATATCTTTAGATTTATTCCTCCTACATAATAGCTACTTTGTACTCTTGAACCAACATCTCTCCATTTCCCCCCTCCATGTCTCCAACCTGGCCTCTGATAACTACTCTTTCATTCTCAGTTTCTATATATTTGACTTTTTATTTTCTTTTTTAGATTCCATACATAAGAGAGGTTATTCAATATTTTTCTTTCCTTGTCTGGTTTATTTCACTTAACATAATGTCCTCCAGCTTCAATTTTGGTGCAAATTACAGGATCTGCTTCTTTGTAAAAGTTGAATAACATTTCACTTTATATTCTACAATGTCTTTATCCAGTCATCTGTTGATGGGCATTTAGGTTGTTTCCATGTCTTCACTATTGTGAATAACGCTGCAGTGAACATAGCGGTGAAGATATTTTTACTAGGTATTGATCTCATTTCCTTTGGATATATGCCTAGAAGAGAGATTGCTGGGTCATATTTTCAATATTTTGAGAATTTGCCCAGGCTGTTCTCAGACTCCTGGGTTCAAGTGATTCCTCAGCCTTGGCCTCCCAAAGTGCTGGGATTACAGACATGAGCCACAGTGCCCAGCCCACTGTGTTTTTCTTCTAGGAGCTAAGGATCCAATTTCATCATTTTGCATCTGGATATCCAGTTTCTCAACACATTTATTAAAGAGACTATCTTTTCCCCATTGTGTGTTCTTGGGGACATGGTCAAAAAGTAGTTGACAGTATCTGCTTGGTTCTATTGCTCAGCGATTTGGTCCGCTGGTCTCTTTTCACGCCAATCCCATATGGTTTTGATTACTACAGCTCTGTAACATAAATTTTAACTAGACAGTGTGATACCTTCAACTTTCTTTTTCTTTCTTGGGATTGCTGGGTCTATTCTGGGCTTTTAGTGGTTCCATTCTAATTTTAGAGTTGTTTTTTTCTGTTTCTGTGAAAATGCTATTGAAATTTTGATAGGGATGTGTTGAATTTATAGATCATTTTGAGCAGCATAAACATTTTAACAATACTTATTCTTCCATTTATTAAATACAGGATGTCTCTCCACTTATTTATGTCTTCAATGTCTTTCAATAACATTTTATAGTTTTCAATGAACAAGTATTTTTCCATCTTGAATACATTTATTTTTGGTATATTATTCTTATGGGTGCTATTGTAAATGAAATTGTTTTATTAATTTTATTTTCAGGTTGTTCATTTCTAGTGTATAGTAATTTTGTCTGTTTATCTTGCATGCTGCAAATTTGCTGAATTAATTGATTGACTCTAGTAGTTTTTGTGTGTATGTGGATTATTTGGAATTTTCTATGTGTAAAACCACATCATCTGCAAATAAAGATAGTTTATGTTCTTTCTTTACTATTTCCTTTTTAAATTTCCTCTTTCTCTGCCTGAACTGTGAATGTCAAAATTCCCCAGGGCAGTCCTAGATGTGCAAAAGAAATGAAGAATAAAGGTCAATATATGAGGTTAAGTCTTATATCTAAAGCATACGGCGTTTTAGCCCATAACGCCCCCTGGAAAGTAGAGCCTGAAACACAGCCCTGCATGCAATTTATTTTCAGGAGAGTAGAGTAGGAGACTAGGGAGAGTAAAACAGGAAAGGGGAGAAAACCAAAAGATGAATTATTCTTAACCAGGTTTCTTCTGTGAAAAACTGGATCTCAATCTCACCAGGCTTTCTGAGAAGCGAAGTAAAATGAATGCACCACAGAATTGTGCATGTGAAGGGCAGAAAACAGGAGTAATAATTCAGCAGCTTCTATCCCTAAATGGTCATTAGCCTCCTCACACTCACGCATTCAGACTGTGAGTGCATGAGTGCGGGGCTGGTTCCCACAAATAGGAGGTGAGAGGGTTAAGAAAATGTACAACGGGGAATGAAAAGAGTTCAGTATTTCTTGTAACATTATCAGTCAGGTAAGCAGAGTTAAAGTTTTCTCAGGTCCTTTTTTTTTCTGGAATAAGTTAACAGTATTGTTTAGAATTTGATAAAGTAATGATTTTTAGAGTGACCACCAAAAGAACAGAAACACTCTATAACTTTCAAATAAGAGAAAATGGAATTTTAAATATACTTAAACAAAAAAATAGGGGATAGGACTATGATTATAACAAATAAAAAATACAAAATATGTAGCACATTTAAATTCAGATACATCCATACATACAGTAAATGTAAAGGAATTAAATTTCCAGCTTAAAAACAAAGATTATCAATTTCAAGTATAAAATAAATAAGCAGAAAAATTATGTCATGAGATATAAAAGTGATCAATATGTCATGTTACTAAATTAAAACACTTACTGTGGTCAAGATATCAATCCTTCCCAAATTAACATACAAATTTAATACACTCTAATATAGAAACAAATATTTTGGAAAAATTAACCAAATAATTTCAGATTAATCTGGAGAATATTCAAGAACATTTTTAAGTAGAATAATAAGGAATGTTAAAAATATGTATCTACCAGAATAGACAAATGATTATGTGTGAATACTCATGTGTGAATACTATTTGAGTTTTCCAAATGCTTTTACATTTTGTATCTCATTTGATCCATGTAATCAGCCCTATAAACCAAAGAGTAATTGAATACAGGAAGAATCTGAGGCTCAGAAACATTACCTTGTGAAAAGCTACCCAGCAAATGACTGTGTTAAAGCTCAATTCCAGCTAAAATTCACTCCTGGTACACTACTCAGGTCACATCTTATTTATAGCAGAGCAAGTCAAATTGAAATTGAAGTGTGAGAAGTGCCTTTGCTTTATTAAAAGATGGCTTTCTTTTAGGCATGGAAATAGCAAAATATTGAGACAATGACAATACCAGCAACAATCTCAGGCAGAATTCTCCGTTGGGTTTTTAAAATCTGACATTAATCAGCTACTTAGCACAAACTTTAAGAGTTGGTTTCCCCCACATAATATTATGAAACGATCATCTTTCCTATCTCTGTTAGAACCCTGGGTTGTTTTTGTGTTGTTTTGTTTTGTTTTGTTTTGTTTTTGTACATCTCTTGCTACTACGACTCTTGTTTGTTTGCTTGCATTTATCAGCTTATGTTTAGAAAGCATTTGAGCTGGTTCAAGACTTCTGCCTTGCACCAATCACATTCTTCTTGGTGTGCTTGCAGAATTGCCTGACACTTTCATCATCCCTATGATGTCAGCAACTACTTAAAGCTGATTCTGTGACCAGTCAACATATAACATAAGACTACATCAATATATAAATATATGAGTAAACAAATCTGTCCAGTTTTTTAAATTATGAAGATTGATGTTATGATCAAAATGATGATGATGATGATGATGATGATGATGATGATGCCTCTCCCCAAAACATCAGAGTAGAACAAGCCATTTACTGGCTTACTACAAAAAGCAAAAAGAGGAAACTCTACAATTTGAACCTTTCTTTAGGGAATATGGTTAGTACTCTCCAAATTTAAGCCAGCCCTGAAAGAGGTAAGCTGGAAAGTCTGTACATCCAGCAGACATCTCTTGCAGAGGAGAATAAAAGCTGTTTCAGGACCATCAAATATTTCTGCTCAATAAAGGTTACAGTGTTTATCCTGGAATCAGATGCTAGATTTCTAAAGAATGAAATGTGAAAACACAGAAAATTAGTCAGTTAGATATTCACAATGAGCATCAAGGAACTTACATACAATTTTTTTTCATGCTTGTCTCAAAAAAAAAAACCCATTTTTAGTTAAATGAATGTTTTACATAATATTTAGAAACAAAATATACTATTTTACATAGTGTTATATACAGTATTTAAATGTTTATCTTCATCTAAAAAATTTCAGGATTCTCGCATCATTTTGCATAGTCAGTTTTCTTATGTAATATTGACAAATGCAATTATGTGACTTCAAACGAATTTCATG